GTATGTGTGTAGGAGGCAGCTGATTGATGTTTCTCTCTCATTAATGTTTCTAACTCTCGAGAAATGCAAATCAAAACAACAATGCGGTTCCATCTCACACCTGTCAGAATGGCCAACATTAACAAATCAACAAATGACAAGTGTTGGCCAGGTTGCGGAGAAAAAGGAACCCTTGTGCACTGCTGGTGGGAATGCAGACTGGTGCAACCACTGTGGAGTTTCCTCAAAAAACTGAAAATGGCCAAAAGCGGTTTGGCTCAGTGGATAGAGCGTCAGCTTGGGGACTGAAAGGTCCCGGGTTCGAGTCCGGTCAAGGGCATGTACCTTGGTTGCAGGCACATCCCCAGTAGGAGGTGTGCAAGAGGCAGCTGATCGATGATTCTCTCTCATCGATGTTTCTAACTTTCTATCTCTCTCTCTCTTCCTCTCTGTATAAAATCAATAAAATATATTTAAAAAACAAACAAACAAAACAAAAACTGAAAATGGAACTCCCATTTGACCCAGTAATCCCACTTCTAAGAATATATCCCAAGAAACTAGAAACACCAATCAGAAAGGATATATGCACCCCTATGTTCAGAGCAGCACAATCTACAATAGTTAGAATTTGGAAACAGCCTAGGTGCCCGTCAGCAGATGATTGGATCCAAAAACTATGGTACATCTATACAATGGAATACTATGCTGCCATAAAAAAGAAGGAATTCTCATCATTTGCAGCAACCTGGATGGAATTGGAGAACATCATCCTGAGTGAAATAAGCCAGTCAATGAAAGAGAAACACCACATGACCTCACTCATTTATGGATAATAAAGAACATTATATACTGATGAACCAAAAGATAGATATAGAGACAGTAAAACAACAAGCAGACTGTCGAATTACAGCGGGGAGGGTAGGGAGATTTGGGGGAGATAAGAGATCAACCAAAGGACTTATATGCATGCATATAAATACAACCAATGGACACAAAACTCTGGGGAGGGAGGGTATGTATGGGGGGGGGGGCAATGTTAAAATATGTACATTTAATAAAAAATAATTTAATAAAAAAAATGTAAAAGGAAAAAAAATATGTTTCTAACTATGTCATTCCCCTCTCTGTAAAAAATATATTTTAAAAATAAATAAATAATAAAATAAAATCTCAGTGGCTAGAGCTTTGGCCTGCTCACTGGAGGGTCATGGGTTTGATTTCTGGTAAAGGACACATATATTGGGTTGTAAGTTTGATCACCCACCCACCCCAGTCAGAAAAAATATCCTCAGGTGAGATTAGAATGTCCTTCCATAGGATTGGGATGTGTTTTCTAATTATAATATAACTAGAGACCCGGTGCATGAAAATCCATGCACTAGAGGGGGCGTCCCTCAGCTCAACCTGCCTCCTCTCACAGTCTGGGAGCCTTCAGGGACAGGAGGCGATCAGGGGAAGGTGATGCCCCATCACACCTCTGCTGCTGCCACTGCCAGCAGTGCAAGCCTCAACCAACCATGGTTACCTGAGCCTTGGGCGGCCCTGAGCGGCTGGGCAGCTGCCATCTGAGCCTTGCCTGTGCCTCTGACCAGGCTGGAAGGCTGAGGGGACTGGCCGCCATTATCTTGCGACTGTGGGTGCTGCCATTTTTGAGGGTGTGGCAATCAATTAGCATATTGGCTGTGGCACCACCATCTTTGTGAGGGCATGGTGTTCCATTAGCATAGTCCCTCTTTATTAGATAGGATTATTAGATAGGATAGCTGTTTTGGTTGGTGCCAAGAGAATAATTCAAACCTGCTTTTTTCTTTTTCTGTCTTTAATCCTCAAATGAGGAACTGCTTAGAGAGAGGAAGGGAAGAAAGAAGAAAGGAAGAGAGGAACAGAGGAAAGAAAAGAGAGAGACACACAAAGAGAAACATCAATGTACGTGGATCAAACCTGCAACCCAGGCATGTGCTCTAACTGGGAATCAAGCCCAGCAACCTTTTGGTGCACAGGTCACTCAAACAGCCTAGCCACTCTGGCTGACCAAACCTGTGTTTTGAATGGGGGATATGGGATCATGCTAGAAACAAAATCTTAAGGATCCCATAGCAGAAGCACTAGAACAAGTCAAGAATCCAGAGGACAAGTGTGCATCTCTTATAGTAGCACAGAGCTCCTCCCTGCTCCCCAATATAACTGTGATTCAAAACTACAGGGGGTCCCTGACCAGTTTGACTCAATGAATAGAGGGCCTATGGACTCAAAGGCCCCAGGTTTGATTCCGGTCAAGGGCATGTTCCTTGGTTGCGGGCAAATACCCAGTGCAGGAGGCAGCTGATCGATATTTCTCTCTCATCAATGTTTTTAACTCTCTGTAAAAAAATCAATAAAATATATATTTTTTTAAACAAAAAAAATGACAGGGGGAGAAACTGGTTGGGAAAAATAATGGATGCATGTTTTTAGGGAAGAAACAAGGGCAATGTGGGAGAAAAGAATACTCCTCCCAACTTGATATATATGCTTTCCTTTTTCTTCTCCTGCTTTTCTTGCATTATTAATCTGTTTATTGACTCTTTTCTCCATCACTTCTTACTTCTTTACCTGTTTCCTAACTCATTATTTTCCTCTTTTCTCTTGTTAAAAGGCTCTCTTCCTGCATCTTCTTTATAGCACATTAAGCAGGACAGGAATTACAAAGAGGAAGATATACTCACAGAATCATGGATTCCTAAAACATTTAAGTTAGACAATACGTGGATATCAGAGTCTAACATCACAGGAAAACTGAAGTACAGCGGAGGAATTTTTGGCTAAGCTGGAATTTAAGCCTGGGTGAGACCCACTGGGACAACTTTGCCAACTTCTAGAGCTCAGCTTGGAGAGAGAGAAATTTCTGCTGTAGCCAATGAAAACATGGTAATATAACTGAGAGCAATACTAAGAGAAATGATCTATGCTCTGTTGCCACAACAATTATCAACTAGCCCTGAATCAGTTATAAACTAACCTGGTGTTTTTGTAGTACAGTTTGGGTTGAAGGAAAATCACATAGCCTAAGTTTCTAAGAGGCAACTCTTCTCTTACTGTGAATCATTTTGTTGTTTTTGTTTGTTTTGTTTTCTCAATTCAGAGGCCATTTACAGTCCCTTTCTTCTTACTGATCTTGCTAACTCTGATACCAATGCAAACTAAGTTCTTTCATAATTCTAAATATCAAATTTGCAAAGTACAACTGAGTAGTCTATGAAAGAATAAGCAGCAATAAAGAAAATACAGCATTGCAGTTTTACATATTTCTTATGTTTTTTGAAAAATCCTTATTGTTAAAATATATTTTGCTGGCAGAAATTTCAACTACTTTGTATTTTTCTGGAATGCAGATGCCTAGAGAAGCAGTTTAACTGTAAGGCTAATGGGTGGTGTCCTTAAAGTCACAACTGTAGAGGATTTCTGAGTCTGGGCTCCCTGAGATACAACTTGAATCGTTGGAAGTGTTTCTGTCAGAAACACGGGCATTTCCTCACAAACGAGGGATTACTTTCCTGCCTTCACAAAGCAATGCAGAATATTTATTTGGTTTTAGAGCTGGAGTTACTAAAGATACTCTTAAGACAGAGGAATATTCTTAAAATTGAATCTTTGAATCCTTACATGGAAATGGAAAACACCAGGTACTGCATTCTGTCACTATATCAGTCAGTGCATGACTACTTATGCTTTTTGAAAGCAAAGAACAAGAGAGAATGGAAAACTGAGCATTGGCAGTGTAGGCTTGGTATCCATGAATCACGCTAGGAGGCTGCTGTTAGGGTAACTAGAAATCAGGCACAAGGAAGAAAAAAATAGCACAAATGAGAGGAAGCTCTGAGACTAGGTTGATCCTTCACAGTATGTGGGAACCAGGAATGTCCACAGTTTTGACTTGTTAGACAAAGGTAGGTGTATGAGAGAAAAGAAAAATTAGAATTTCAAATAAAAAATATATACAGCTATGAGTTTTATAAAATCTGTTCTTTTGTAGAATACATGACATATAAACTTACTTTGACTTAATATGGTGTCTAGGGATGTGGCTATTGCTTTCTGAGGGAAAACTCCAAATAGCTTTCCTTTTGAGCATAATTAGAAGAGAGACACATGTGGAAATATATTCAGCTACTTGTTTACCTTGATCTCAGTTAATTATTATTAAAACTCCTAGCCCTCCTTCCCCTTCTTGCCAGGAGGCCAGAATATATGTTGACTTAAGAATGTCTCTACCCTGGCCAGTTGCACAATGGTTAGAGTGTCGGCCCTTGGACCAGAGGATTGAGGGTTTGATTCCAGTTCAAGGGCATATACCTCAGTTGCGGGTTCAATCCCCAGCCCGGTTGGGGTACAAGCTGGAGGGAACCAACTGGTGTCGTTCGTTCGTGTTCTCTCTCTCTCTCTGTCTCTGTCTCTTTTTTCCCCGTTCTGTCCCCCCTCCCTTCTATTCCATCTGAAAATCAATGGAAAAATATATCCTCGAGTGAGGATTAAGAAAAAAAGGAATGTCTAAAGCCCTGCAGAGAATTTGTATAAGAATTTATTTGAGGTAAAACTGACAATTGCTGGGAAGCAATATCTCAAATGCTTCCATGAATTATTTTGAACGCACCTGCACCCCTCCCTCAAAAAATAATGTTAATAAACACTCTATAGAGAAACTGCCTAAATGAAAGGACCAAATTTCACTCGGAGGACAGGACATTTTTTTTTTCTTCTAAAAATACCTGCCTTTCAGGAAAATATTTTTAAAATGTGTCCATTATTATAGGGTTTCCCTTTTGCTACCAAGGATCATCAGAAATTTCTGAACATAGGATATTGGCAACAAGTACCAAAGCAGGAGGAGATGCCTCTTTCTGGAGGAGAGAAACCATCATCTAAGTGACAGTGATGCTCCCTAACCCAGGAAATCTCAGTTAAGGACGTGAGGTGTGGAAGGAGCCTTTGCCAGCCCATGCCAGAGCATCTTAGTTGGCTCAAACCTTTTTCCTACTTACATGGAACAGTGGAAAGTGCCAACAGGGTTCTCACGACGAATGTCTTCATACTCCTCATATATTCCTCGCTTTTGCCTGGTGCTAACATAATTCATCAGCTCTTGGATGGTCATGGCATGAGGACCTGGAACATGCACTGAGTCCCAGTCTAAAGCAGGAGGGAGGGAGAACAAGATGATCTCATCGAAGGGGTCCGGGTGGCCATTCATCTGGGGTAGGAATTGGAAATTCCAAGTGGCGAGGTCCATTTTGACGTACCCACCCAGGTTTTCTGGAAGGCACTCTCTGGGCAGGTGCTGGGTGACCTCGGATGTCTTTAATATCTGAATCTGGAAAGCCAGAAAGAACCATGTGAATATGTATATGTGAGGGTGTGGGGGGAGAGACAAATAATAAAGATAAAGAACAAATGTGGCCCTCGTCAGTTTGGCTCAGTGGATAAGAGCATTGACCAGCACACTGAAGAGTTCTGGGTTTGTTCTGGTCAAAGGCACATACCTGGGTTGCAGGCTCAATCCCCAGCAGGTGGCATGCAGGAGGTAGCCAATCAATGATTCTCTCCATCATTGATGTTTCTATCTCTCCCTCTCTGAAATCAATAAAAATATATATATTTTTAAAAAGAATAAATGTGGCCAAAACCGGTTTGGCTCAGTGGATAGAGCGTCGGCCTGTGGACTGAGGGGTCCCAGGTTCAATTCCGGTCAAGGGCATGTACCTTGGTTGCGGGCACATCCCCAGTGGGGGGTGTGCAAGAGGCAGCTGATTGATGATTCTCTCTCATCAATGTTTCTAGCTCTCTATCCCTCTCTCTTCTTCTCTGTAAAAAAAAGAAAATCAATAAAATATATATTTTTTAAATGAATAAATATGCTTCAGGAATATAAAGTACAGCACAGGGAATATAGTCAATAATATTATAATAATTATGTATGGTGCCAGGTAGGCACTTAAATTATTGGGGGGAAGAGAGGGCAGTTACACTGTAAATTATGGTTGCTTAACTACTATGCTATATACCTAAAACTGATATAAAGTAATATTAGGTTTGGAGAACAGGATGAAATTTACTTGCAATACTTAGTATACTTGTAAAAACAGACAGTACTTCATCTGTCTGGGATTGAAATCTTTTGAATTTCCCAGAGAATATTTATCAAATTACCAGAATGTATAGCACATTCACTCCTGAAAGTAGGTGTTCTATTTTACACCTTTTAAAAGGAAGGTATAGTGAACAAAGGCGTTATTTTATGCTATTAAGAAGGCTTCCCAGTAACATCTGCTGAAGTTAATTCATCTTCTGACTACCAAGAATGAATAGGTAGTGGTTATTTTTGTCAACTGTTATAATTTACTTTATTCAAATATTTGTACGGATGTTCTTAGAGCTAGGTTTCTATGAAAGTAACACAAGTTACTCGTACAAAGGGAAGCCCAGGAGAAATGCTGGAGAAATTAGCATAACATCTAATTCTGCTGTCTGATGGCACCCAGCCATACAGAACAATATTAGCCTAGTTGGTTAGTCTTTTTTTTATTTTTATTTTATTTTATTGATTTTTCACAGAGAGGAAGAGGGAGAGATAGAGTTAGAAACATCGATGAGAGAGAATCATCGATCAGTTGCCTTTTGCACACCCCCTACTGGAGATGTGCCTGCAACCAAGGTTCTTGCCCAGAATCGAACCCGGGACCTTTCAGTCCGCAGGCCAACACTCTATCCACTGAGCCAAACCGGTCCCGGCCTAGTTGGTTAGTCTTGAAATCCACGTGGAATGAAGGTGATGACCTCTCTTGCTATTGCATTTTCTGGAATGCCCTCTTTCCCTCCTTAGCCTCTTTTAGGACAGTTTATAGCTCATGAATTCCATCCACCAGGCAATATTCTCCTCCATGTTCCTGCAGAGCCACACTCCTCTCTCTGCACTTGTTATCTCTGTGTCCCCTTTCAGGACCATGAATTCTTCAAGGTTAAGGACTGTCTTTTTTTCTTTTTTTAATATATTTTTATTTATTTTTTACAGAAAGGAAGAGAGAGGGATAGAGTTAGAAACATCAATGAGAGCGAGTCATCGATCAGCTGCCTCTTGCACACCCCCTACTGGGAATATGCCCGCAACCAAGGTACATGCCCTTGACCGGAATCGAACCCGGGACCTTTCAGTTCGCAGGCCAATGCTCTATCCACTGAGCCAAACCGGTTTCGGCCTAAGGACTGTCTTGAGCAAGTTTTCATTCCCAAGGCCCAGAGCCTGGATTGTAAAGGTCCTCCATATATTTTGAGTTTATACACTCATTTATGTTTGAATATAAAATTGTAAGAACTTGCCTAAGGAGTCTTCTCAAAGAGTTATATTAGGAAAGATCTCCCCTACTCTGAGTCATCAGGTCCCCAAGTAGTTCCATAGAACCAAATCAGTTTCTCCTGGCCAACTCAAGTCACTTCAACTATAAAGATCTGCATTACTATTCATATAACCTCATAATCCTATACTACAAAAATCTCTGGTATTCCATAACAACTTTTTCATCTTAAATCTAATTATGTCAATGTTTCATACGCCCTTTCTTTCAAGAGTAGAAAGGAATGAGTTTGGCTCAGTGGAATTAGTAACACCATAATCTTTCAGACCTGGAACACTCAGAGAATAATGGAATTAAGATAATTTTAGATAACACTTTTGAAGTTAGGAAGCAACAAGCTGTTTTTAAAAAAATGCCAAACCTTAGTCAGTTTGGCTCAGTAAATAGACCATTCGCCCAGGCACTGAAGCGAAAACGCCAGAAATTTAGGTAGAAAGAGACATAGTGAAATACTCTTCTCTGCCCCCTTGGTAGTCTAAGAACTGAATGGCATTTATAGTTGAACAAAGTCAAACTCCAGTTCAACTAATGCAATTATATTATACAGTAGTGGCTGAGTGGACAAAATTCGTGCACATTAAAAGGGAATTAGAGAAAATATATATATATTTTTTAAATATATTTTATTGATTTTCTTACAGAGAGGAAGGGAGAGAGATAGCTAGAAACATCGATGAGAGAGAAACATCGACCAGCTGCCTCTTGCACACCCCCTACAGGGGATGTGCCCGCAACCAATGTACATGCCCTTGGCCGGAATCGAACCTGGAACCTTTCAGTCCGCAGACCGACGCTCTACCGCTGAGCCAAACCGGCTTCGGCTAGAGAAAATATTTTAATATTGCTATTTGCCCTTTCTCTATAATAGAAGTGTCAAAGATGAAAGAAAAGTAGTAAAATGCATATGAAAATAATATATGAATTTATTAATAAATAAACAATCACAACGTAAGACAACAAAGACATGATACAAAAACAAAAAAACATGATGTAAAAACAACACTGAGCCGAGACCGGTTTGGCTCAGTGGATAGAGTGTCGGTCTGCGGACTAAACGGTCCTGGGTTCGATTCCGGTCAAGGGCACGTAACTTGGTTGCGGGCACATCCCCAGTATGGGGCGTGCAAGAGGCAGCTGATTGATGACTCTCTCTCATCGATGTTTCTAACTCTACTCTGTATCTCTCTTCCTTCCTCTCTGTAAAAAATCAATAATATATATTAAAAAAAACAACAACGTTGATACAAACAATGATTGATAAATTGATTAAACTTATTCTAATATCTCCCTGTATACCACATTAAGAGTGAAAACACCTTCAGAGGGCTTGACTACTTTCCCTTGTGATGAAGTATTTACAACTTTAACTTTAACAATACATGCTTTTCAAACTCAAGAAAAAGCAACATGCCGAGACCGGTTTGGCTCAATGGATAGAGCGTCGGCTTGGGGACTGAAGGGTCCCGGGTTCGATTCCGGTGGATAGAGCATCGGCCTGCGGACTGAAGGGTCCCAGCTTCAATTCCGGTTAAGGGCATGTACCTTGGTTGTGGGCATATACCCAGTGGGGGGTGTGCAGGAGGCAGCTGATCGATGACTCTCTCTCATCGATGTTTTTAACTCTCTATCTCTCTCCATTCCTCTCTGTACAAAATCAATAAAATATATTAAAAAAAAAAAAGCAACATATAATTGACCATATGTGAAAACAGGTTCAGATAGGAATATTCCTACTCTGTCTAGAGTTTGTCCTTATGATTTATTTTTATTTTTTAATTTCTTTATTGATCATGGTATCACATAATTGTCCTCATCCCCACCCCCATTCCCATCCCAAACCCCTCCCCAGTCCTTATGATTTATTAATAGTTATCACAAATGTTGGCATCATGGGAAACTATCTTTGAATTCATTTAAATGGGAGGCCAGTGTCAGATCAGGGTCTGGAGTGCCGGGGAATGGGATTCCTGGCTGGCAGGCTGCTGACAGCGAGCTATCCAACAGCTGATTCTGCGAGGAATGGGGCTCCCTCCTCCCTCCTGTCAGGGTCCAGTTTGAAGACTGTCAATGCTGCGACTGCGTGAGACCCACAGTGCTGCTGTGCCCCAGGGGGGGCCCAGAGCTCCTTCCCATAGCCCTGGCGCCCAGGCCAGGGCAGGGAAAGAGCTCCCTCCCCCCAGCAGCCTGCTATTCGGCCATCTTTCTGGTCGTTTAGGTTGTGATGGCCCCTGGCTTTTTATATATTAGGATTGTTAAATATTAAAGGTCTGTATAGTAATAGGCTAAGTTTTGGTAGTAGCTATCCCTAAGTTACCCAGAGAACACATTCCTTCAGAACTATTTTTATGCAAAATGCTATGATGGGAGAGTGTCCAGTTCCTAACTTTAAGGAACTTGTAGTGCAGTGGGAGAGCCAGTCTATACTGAGCCAAGAAAGGATAAAGCAGAGCCCCAGCCAGTTTGGCTCAGTGGATAGAGTGTAAGCCCATGGACTCTAGGTCTCAGGTTCAATTCCAGTCAAGGTCACATAACTCGGTTGTAGGCTCGATCCCCGAGTCAGGATGCATGAGCGAGGCAACCAATCAATGTATCTCTCTCACATCGATGTTTCTTTCTCTCTCCGTCTCTCTCCCTTCTTTCCACTCTCTAAAAATCAATATCGGGTGAGGACTAACAACAAAAAAGGAATAAAGCAGAGAATACACATGAATACCCTGACAGAAGCAGAAAGCGCTATAGAAGAAAAGACAACAAGATTTTTTTGAAAGTAGAAAACTGGCCGGTTTCAACAGCATAGATGAAAATCTCTATCCACCTCCAAATAAAATAAAGCTAGCTTGCCTTACCCTCTCCCGGACTTTGTCCTTCAGGAGGAGGCTGATGATGGAATAGGGCACTCGGAACCATATGGGTGCTCCCACAATCAGCACTTTCTTCAAACGAGCTGGAAATGCCCCCTGTGGAAAACACATGAGGATTTCAAGATACCAATCACAGCACTCAAGAGAGGCAAATGGAACCTGTGGCTATTCAAGCCCAGGTTTTCTGCTCTTCTACCCATTCTTACTCAGAAGGAGATTCTGTAGCATAATTCAATTTTCACTTGAGTAGCTGAATAAAAAGTGGTTTAAAAGAAATAAATTAAAAGCTGATTTACCTTTAAAAGTATTGATGTTAAATACTTGTAGACATAAGCTTTGTGGATTAAAAACTATCCTGACTTTTCTTATCAGCAAACGTGTGCAGCCTTAAGTTCTGCTTATTGAAATTTTAAGGAAAAAATAAATCATAAATAAACTGAATATGAAAGACACATTTGTCTCATAATTTTTCTTTTATACTTGTATCTGTATATTTATAACAATTTTTTTTTTACCCAATTCTTTATCTATTTATGTATTCATTTACTTAATTGATAAATATGATCTAGAGGGCTCAAGGGCAAATGAGATCTAAAAGAAAATGAGACACTGCACAAAGCATAAGAACAAAAAGCAATGACCCTAATCCTACAGCTCTCAATTTCTCTTAGTTTCTCAAAAGCAGGGAACCATTTAATATTGGCAATCTAACTGGGAAGAAATTATTTCCAATGAATCAAAAATAAGAGGAAACATAGCTAAATATCTGCTACCACTTTCTCTCCATTATTTTTCAAAAGACTGAGTCTCAATTTGACACATCACTCTGTGGCTACTCTTCAGTTCTACTAATTTTGGGGTCTGCAAACACTTCCTATAAATATACAGCATCCAGAACAAAATTCTTCAAAGGCCTCTTCATTAAAGTTTGGGAAATCACCTTTCATCTCTTCCCTCAAAGATGCAAAAAACTAACAGAGGAACTTACATGCATATATGCATGGTCCATGGACACAGACAATGGTGGGGTGAAGACCTGGGAAGAGCAGGTATGGGGTGGAGGAGATCAATGGGAACACATTGAAACAAAAAATCAAAGGGGACATTTGTCATACTTTCAGCAATAAAGATAAATAAATAAATAAGATGCAACAGCCCTGACTGGTTTGGCTCAGTGGATAGAGCATCAGCCTACAGACTGAAAGGTCCCAGGTTCGATTCTGGTCAAGGGCATGTTGTGGGCACATTCCCAGTAGGAGGTGTGCAGGAGGCAGCTGATCAATGTTTCTCTCTCATTGATGTTTCTAGCTTTCTATCCCTCCCTTTCCTCTCTGTAAAAAAATAAAAAATATATTAAAAGCAAACAAACAAACAAAAAGATGCAACAACTTATTTTAGGGCCTAAATATAAATAGCCAAAGCCCCTTTAACTGCCAGATCAAAAATAAATCTCAAGAAACACCTAAACTTCCACAAAATGATAAATAGAAAGTAGAAGCCATTACCTCTGCTTCCTCAAAGCAATGAACTACAGATTCAGATAGTTCAGCAAAATGACTTTTTGACATCCAAATATATCGTGGATGGACAGAAAATCAGTAACACCTTCTGGAGGGCATTTGGTTTTATATATATTCTTAAAAATGTAAATATACTTTGATCAGGTAATTCCATTTCTGAGACTCTATTCTAAGAAAATAATGAGTAACACAAAGATTTATAAATAAAAACATTTAGTGTACTTTTATTTTTTATAGTTAAAAATAATACTTTAAGCCAAAACCGGTTTGGCTCAGTAGATAGAGCGTTGGCCTGTGGACTGAAAGGTCCCAGGTTCGATTCCGGTCAAGGGCATGTGCCTTGGTTGCGGGCACATCTCCAGTAGGGGGTGTGCAAGAGGCAGCTGGTCGATGATTCTCTCTCATCGATGTTTCTAACTCTCTATCCCTCTCTCTTTCTCTCTGTAAAAAATCAATAAAGTATATTAAAAAAAACAATAATAATACTTTAAAACTGAAAAGAACATGTCTGAAAATTGGTAGTGGTTAACAAAAATCGGCATATCTTTTTAAAAGATTGTTATATAACCTTTAAAACTAAAACATGTTCACAATAAAACTTAAACAAGATCAAAACTATAATCTTAATTTTGTTTAAAAAATGACACACATATACATTAATAGAAAAAAGTGAATAAGCCGAGACCAGTTTGGCTCAGTGGATAGAGTGTCTGCCTGAAGACTGAAGGGTCCGATTCCGGTCAGAGGCATGTACCTTGGTTGGGGGCGCGTCCCCCGTGGGGTGGGTGCAAGAGGCAACTGATCAATGACCCTCTCTCATCGATGTTTCTGGCGCTCTCTCTCTCTCTCTCTCTCTCTCTCTCTCTCTCTCTCTCTCTTCCTCTCTGTAAAAAAATCAATAAAATATATGTTTAAAAAGTGAATAAAAAATTGTATCTAAAGCTAAATAGATTTTATATCTAATAAGTGAAATCATGGTTAGTCTTAATTCTTCATGTTTTATTTTCTATGATACTCTGTATTACTTTTACTTTTTTTTTTAAAATATATTTTATTGATTTTGTATAGAGAGGAAGGGAGAGAGATAGAGAGCTAGAAACATCAATGAGAGAGAGTCATCGATCAGCTGCCTTTTGCACACCCCCTACTGGGGATATGCCCGCAACCAAGGTACATGCCCTTGACCAGAATCCAACCCGGGTCCCTTCAGTCCCCAAGCCGACGCTCTATCCATTGAGCCAAACCGGTCTCGGCTACTTTTACTTTTTACAATCTTATTAAGAATGAGTAGAGTACTTGTTCCAGTAATTCTACTTCTAGAGATTAATTTAAAGCAAATTACTTAATGTGCATACAAAAATATGGATATAAAAATTATTTATTGTAAAAAAAAGTTTTAATTTGACAACATAGAAATAGTTAAATTATTTATAGTAAATACAGGAAAGACTATTATTTAGCAAATACAAGTGTTCATAAAATAAAGTTGATGAAGCTTATTGTGTAGAAAAATTTTATGAGCTTAACTAAGACCATATTGAAAAACTTCTAGAAGAAAGTGGTACACCAATAGAAAGTAGAAGCCATTACCTCTGCTTCCTCAAAGCAATGAACTACAGACTCAGAAAGTTCAGCAAAATGACTTTTTGACATCCAAATATATCGTGAATGGACAGAAAATCATTTTGTGGAAGTTTAGTGTACCAATTTATCATTTTAGTGGTACACCAAAGTTTAGAGGTTATTTCTGCATGATAGTATTAAAGGTCATATTTTTTCTTAATGTAAATAATTCTGGGTTGTCCAAAATTGTCTACAATAAATTTTTTCTAACTACAATGGTATTTTAAGGTATAAAAGATAAATATGAAAAAAATTATCCATCCTATAAATGATAATAAGCCTAAAAGTATGACGGTAAAAATTCGATTAATAACAGCGCTTGTGCACATACACACTACCCGCATACCCTGTCTCTTTGTCTCTCTCACTTTCCTTATAGCCCACTAGTCTTAGAATAAAGATGATTTATCCTTGATGCATTCCATGCTTTTATAAATATACGTACATATTTTTAAATCCAGGAATAAAAGTCATAAGAAACATGCAAGATAAATAATTTTAAAAGTTTATTGAAAGACATAACAAAAGTATTTTCTTAAAAAGCAGAGCATTTTGGCCCTAGCCAGTTTGGTTCAGTGAATAGAGCATTGGCCTGTGGACCAAAGGGTCCCAGGTTTGATTCCCATCAAGGGCACGTACATCAGTTGCAGGCTCCTCTCTAGCCTGGGCCTTGGTCAGGGCTCCTGCAGAAAGCAACCATCGATGTGTTTCTCTCATATCAATATTTCTCTCTGTCTTTCCCTCTCTCTTCCACTCTCTCTAAAAATCAATGGAAAAATATCCGCAGGTGAGGATTAAGGGGGAAAAAGCAGAAAGAGATAGCACTACAAAGATGTGAATCCTGCCTGGCTGGCATGGCTCAGTGGTTGAGCATCTATCTATGAATCAGGAGGTCATGGTTGACTCCTAGTCAGGGCACCTACCTGGGCTGTGGCTCAATCTCCCTTGGGGGGCATGCAGGAGGCAGCTGATAAATGGTTCACATCACTGATGTTTATCTCTCTCCCTTCTTCTCTGAGAACAATAAAAATATATTTAAACAAAAAAGAAAAAGATGTTGCCGAAACCGGTTTGGCTCAGTGGTAGAGCGTCTGCCTGCGGACTGAAAGGTCCCACGTTCAATTCCAGTCAAGGACATGTACCTTGGTTGCGAGCACATCCCCAGTGGGGGTGTGTGCAAGAGGCAGCTGATCAATGATTTTCTCTCATCGATGTTTCTAATTCTCTATCCCTCTCTCTTCATCTCTGTAAAAGATCAATAAAATATATTTTTAAAAAAAGATGTCAATCATCTGTAAATTAATTTACTAATTATCCTATATAATAAAGATGTAATATGCAAATGGTCCATATGCCTTGAAGCTAACGACTGACCGAGTAACAATGGAAGGAATAACGACCAGATCAGCAGGAGGGTGGGGCGAAGAGCTGTGGGAGTGGGCAGGGCAGCAAGCTATAGGAGGAGGGAGTTACAGGAGGGCAACAGCAAGCTACTGGCTACAAGTGGGCAGTGGAGAGCTATAGGAGGGGGCAGGGCAGCAAGCTATGGGGGAGGGGAGAACTACAAGAGGGCAGGGCTGAAGCGGAAAGCTACTGGAGGGTGGCAGTGAGCTAATGACGCAAAGATTTATGTGCAGGGTTACTACCCTGTTTCCCTGAAAATAAGACATCCTCCGAAAATAAAACCTAGCGCATGGAAAGATAAGACATCACCTGAAAATAAGTCCTCGTGCAACTTTGGGAGAAAAAATTAATATAAGACACTGTCTTATTTTCGGGGAAACAGGGTAGTTTATCTTTAATAATAAAAGCATAATATGCAAATCAACCAAACAACTGGCAATGGAAACTAAAGAGAAAATAATCAAAATAAAAAGCTTTTTCACAGCAAAAGAAACCATCAACAAAACTACAAGAAAGCCCATTGTATGGAAGAACATATTTGCAAATGTTATCACTGATAAAGGTTTAATCTCCAACATTTACAGGTAACTTATACAACTTAATAAAAGAAAGATAAATGTTCCAATAAAAAATGGGCAACGGACCTAAATAGAATCTTTTCGAAAGAAGACAAGGAAGGTCAAGAGACAGGTGAAAACATGCTCAAAGTCACTAATTATCCAAGAGATGCAAATAAAAATGACAATGTGGTACCATGTCACACCTGTCAGATTGGCTATCAACAAATCAACAAACGTGTTGACGAGGATGTGGAGAAAAAGGAACCCTCGTGCACTGCTGGTGGGAAGGCAGACTGGTGCAGCCACTGTGGAGAACAGTATGGAGTTTCCTCAAAAAACTAAAAATGGAACTCGCATTTGACCCAGTAATCCCACTCCTAGGAATATATCCCAAGAAACTAGAAAACACCAATCAGAAAGGATATATGCTCCCCTATGTTCCTAGCAGCACAATTTACAATAGCTACAATTTGGAAACAGCCTAGGTGCCCGTCTGCAGATGACTGGATCAGAAAACTATGGTATATCTACACAATGGAATACTATGCTGCCATAAAAAAGGAATTCTTACTATTTGCAGCAACCTGGATGGAACTGTAGAGCATTATACTAAGTGAAATAAGCCAGTCAAAGAAAAATACCACATGATCTCACTCATTTGTGCATAATAAAGAACATTATAAACCAATGAACCAAAAAATAGATACAGAGGCAGTAAAGCATTGAACAGACCATCAAATTACAGATATTTACATTACGATTCATAACAGTAGCAAAATTACAGTTATGAAATAGCAACAAAAATAATTTTATGGTTGGGGGTCACCACAACATAAGGAACTGTATTAAAGGGTCGTGGCATTAAAAAGGTTGAGAACCACTGCTCTAGAACATAACATTCTCAATAGTGGTAATACCACCCTCAAGGGGATAAAATAGTTTTGAGGAGAGTAGATTATAGGTAAAAAAAATCATACCCTTTTTTTGCATAAAGTGATATGCAGTCAGTACATCAGTGGTATTAGAATTTTATTCGAAGAGGACTAAATTGAGGAATAGGGTGATGTCTATGGAAGGTTCCTAAATGAGGCAATAATGAAAAAACATTTGAGAAACACTGACCTAGAGATATACCTGCACACATGCACCAGAGAAAGTATTCATAGCAGCACTATTCACAGCAAAATCAGGAAACAATCCAAGGAGCCATTAGTAGAAAAGCAGATTAATAAATTGATATATTGTTATCAATGGATAAGGAATTAAAAGATAACAATCCTTCAACTATGAATAAAAATAAGTAAATCACAGCTACATACCATAAGGGGAATGATGAGTGGAAAATTCAAGACCCAGAAAACAACATGCAATATAATAACCTATCTATATACTATAAAGCTGTAATCTTATTTAAAAAGAGGGGATATGCAAATTGATCATCACACCATCATAAAGATGGCAGTGTCCACAGTGGAGAGGGGGGAGATTCTATAACACAAGACGGCTGCACCCACAGCGGAGGCCAAGTTCCCGAATTGAGCCTTAAGGAGCAATCAGCAGGGACCTGAGACTGTATGGCGCTGGGCCAAGGCAGGGGACCTGAGCCGGTGCCCCCCACCTGGAGGGATTTGACAGGGGACCTCAGGCTGCACCCCTGGCCCGGCAGGGCTTGATGGGGGACCTCAGGCTACACCCCCTGCCCGGGCACTGGGCCAGGGGACCTGAGGCCATGCCCCCCACCCTGGCACCGGGCAAGGGAACTTGAGACCGTGCCCCCTGCCCAGCGGGGCTTCATGGCGGACCTCAAGGTGTTGGGCCAGGGGACCTCAGGCTGCTCCTCCTGCTCTGAGCTTGGGGACCTCAGGCCATGGCCCCCACCCAACGGGGCTTGACAGGGGAACTGAGGCTGTGCCCCCCCACCTGGCGCCAGGCCAGGGGACCTGAAACTGCTCCCTACCCGGTGGGGCTTGATAAGGATGGGGCCTGATAAGGATGGGGCCAGCTGGGTCTGGGTCTCATGTGATTTTGAGGTGCCGCAGGTGGACAGGGACTTGACCCTGGGTCTCACGGCACGCCCCAGACTCTGACAGGAGGAAGATTTTCATATTACATTTTACTAATTTTCTTTTATCTGTGACACTTCTATTATAGAGAAAGGGCAAATAGCAATATTAAAATTTTTCCTCTAATCCCCTTTTAATGTGCATGAATTTCATGCACTGGGCCACGAGTAGTAAACAAACACCTCTAGAAACCTAGTTCCTTAGTACTCCCAAGTGAGGTCCTGGAACAAAGAGTGCATAGACTCCTAGATGAATGTTTGTCACTTAGTGGGACTTTAATTTAATAGGTAAATTTTTTTCGTAAGTTTTTCACAGGGCAGCCCAGCCAGTGTTGTTCAATGGTTAGGGGGTCAATCTATGAGCCAGGAGGTGACAGTTTGATTCCCAATCAGGGCACATACCTAAGTTGCAGTCCCAGTAAGGAATGTGAAGGAGGCAGCCAATAATGATTCTTACCCTTGATGTTTCTACCTCTCTCTCCCTCTCTTTCTCTCTGAAATCAATAAAAAATATATATATTTAAAAAAATCACAGGGCAGCAAAAGCTAATCTGAAATACCCTAGGCTATTCATAGCCTTTATTCTTTTCCACTCCTTATAATACATTCCATTGCAGAAATATTAATGTTTGGTTATAGCATGGCATACATATTATCTTCTTTTTAAAAGATATATATTTTTATTGATTTCAGAGAGGAAGGAAGCGAGATAGAAAGATAGAAACATCAATGATGAGAGAGAATCATTGATTGGCTGCCTCCTACACACCCCCTACTGAGGATCAAGCCCGCAGCCTGGGCATGTGCCCTTGAGCAGAATCTAACCTGGGACCCTTCAGTCCGCAGAGCATACTGAGACAAAACAGCTAGAGCCATGTTTTCTTTTAAAGTTCAAGATATTACAAAAGACTTCTGGACCTAGGAGTTTGTGATAAGAGATTAAGAACCTTATCTATATATGTAACTCTATATATATGTGTTTAAGTATACATATACTTTAATGCACTAAGTCATAATGTAAAACATATTTTTGGCCCTGGCCAGGTGGCTCAGTTGCTTGGAACATTGACCCATAAACCAAGAAGTTGTGGGTTGATTCCTGTTCAGGGTATATACCTAGAATGTGGATTTAATCTCTGTCAGGGCAAGTACAAAGGGAAGCAATTGATAGATATTTCTCTCTTACATTGATATTTCTCTGTTGCTCTCCTTTACTCTCTCTCTAAAATTAATAAAAACATATCCTTGAGTGGAGAGTAAAAAAAAAAAATTAGCCGAGACCGATTTGGCTCAGCGGATAGAGTGTCGGCCTGCAGACTGCAAAGTCCCAGGTTTGATTCCGGTCAAGGGCATGTACCTTGGTTGTGGGCACAATCCTCAGAAGGGGTTGTGCAAGAGGCAGCTGATCAATGTTTCTCTCTCTTCGATGTTTCTAACTCTCTATCTCTCTCTCTTCCTCTCTGTAAAAACTCAATAAAATATTTTTTTAAATTTAATTAAAAAACCCACACACATATTTTTGACTAGGTTAAATTAAAGTCTGAAAGTCACTGACTAATGACATTTTTCATGGACACTGGACACTTCATTCATTCTTATTCTATAAAACTCCAGGAAGGAAACATGCCACACCTCTATGATTCAGAATGTTCTTGTGCATTTTTTATTTAAATTCTTCCCATTTTACTAAAAGACCATTTCTTGTTCTGAGGAAGCAGTAATCAGTTAGTCACCTTTTATAGATGACCTTTAAGTGGAACACAATGTCTAAAATTTACATCATTTCTAAATTCAAAGAATAGAAAAGAAAAATATCCTAATCATTATGGGAGTTAAGAGGGCCTTACCTTCAGCAGGTTTAGGACTTTCTTGCCAAGATCCAGCTCAAAGTTGGTATAATTAGAACCACACATGTCATAGATAAATACCAGTCCATTTCTCTGTGTTTCAAAGCTGTAAAGCAATCATTGAACAAAAACATTTAAGTAATCAGATGAATGAGGCAGATTGAAAGCCTGGGGCAAAAACAAAAGTATGGGACATATTTGAGACCAAAATAACGGCCTCCTTTAACACTAGCCTTACAAGAAGATGATTTACCTTCGGTATCTACTATGCTTATTTTGTTATTGTGATTTGTATTAAGAACTATATATAGCATTTGGTCTTTGACCCTGCTCCTGGAATAATTCTGAAAACTCTTGGAATTTCCTAAGTGAAGAGCTCAATAATGGTGTCTGTTGTTATTGAGGCAACTGCTGGAATGTCACTAAGTTACCAAGGATGGATGCTGGTTACCAGGGAAACCAAACACTGGGAAGGAAGAGTGAGGGAAGGGGTAGAGACTGAGTTCAATCACCAATGGATAATGATTTATTCTATTACACCTAAGTAATGAGGCCTCCATAGAAATTCAGAAGGATGGGGTTCAAAGAGATTCCAAGTTGATGAACATGTGGAGAGGTATTGGGAGAATGGCTCTCAGAGAGGGTATGGGAACTCCACGCTACTTCCTCATACCTTGCTCTATGCATCCCTTCCATCTGGCGGTTCCTGGGTTATATCCTTTTATCACAAATCGGTAATCCAGTAAGTAAAATATTGCTGAGTTCTGTGAGCCATTCTAGCAAATTCATCAAATTCAAGAAATAGGTGGTTGAAACCTCTGATCAGCCCTCGCTGATGTTGCTCAGTGGTTAGAGGGTCAGCCTAACTGAAGGGTCATGGGATCGATTCCAGTCAAGGGCACATACCTGGGTTGCAGATTCCCCACCCTGCGTGGGGCTAATGGGGGAGGCAACTAATTGATGTGGCTCTCTCACAGTGATGTTTCTCTCCCTTTTTCCTTTCTCCCTCTTTCCTTCCTTCCCACCCTCTCTAAAATCAGTAAGAAAAATATCCTCTAATGAGGATTAGCAAAAAAAAAAAAAAAAAAAAAAAGGCAGACCAGCCTGGTGGTTCAAGTGGTTGAGCATTGACATATGAACCAGGAGTTCACAGTTCAATTCCCAGTCAGGGTACATGCCTGGATTGTGGGCAGCCAATCATGATTCTCTCTCATCATTAATGTTTCTCTCTCTCTCTCTCTCTCTCTCTCTCTCCCTTCCTCTCTGAAATCTATTTTTTTTTTTTAATAAAAAACTTTTTTTAAGGGACAGAAGAGGCTGGTCTGAGGGGTTCAGAGAGCTGGCCCAGCAGCACAAGAAGAAGCCCCAGCAGAGGGTGGGGGGTTGTCATCCACGACACAGCAAGAAGACCTTGGAATCACTGCCCAGACTACACAATACCACTGCAGCCAAATTACCCTTCAACAATCAAGTAGAATAAAGGTGTTTTCAAAAGAATAAAAGAAATATTTTTAAATTGTTATTTAATTTGCTTCCTCAGTTTCTGTTATTCTGAAAAGAGATAGCAGGTAAAGATACAAAAAAACCCACCAGCTTGATAGTACCTGGAAACATGCCAAGCCTTTAAGGATATGGGACATTTACCATACATAGCACTCACTGCTCAGGACATACCTGAGAAACATGGAAAGCACTGCTAAGTTTTATCAAATCAAGAACCATCACTTTCCCATCTGAATGTTGACCACCTAAAAGATAATCTCACCTATCTACAGCTCTGTCTAACAAGTAAAACAGAGCCTGAAGTACCACATGTTGCACTGATTTGTGGGGATGATGCAATCTGGCAGTGAAGAGGGCAATGGAGGCTCCTGTTGGGTCCCGAACATCCTAGTGCGAATAAAACAAAAGACATTTAGAAATCAAATAGGAAATTCCAATAACCTCTAAAGATTCTTAGTATATCCTAAACGCAGGTTTCTGATATGAAGGTAACAGATATTAGCAATATATCTCTGACTTGCATTAATTGCTTAAGAAAGGGAAGGAAAGAAAGTTTATATCATCCCATGACTGATTCTCAGCAAGCTCCCACCCCAAACTATATTTCAGTGATAGGGAGAAACACATTATCTTAAATCTTCAATTGCAGAAATTAAAATATGGTCTACACTGGCTGATTAGCTAATTTCCCAGGCAGGATGCCAAAAGAAATGAACAGCAGATGAAAACTATAAAATCCACCCATTATTACTTACCTGTGAGGCTATAATTTCTTTTTTTCTTTCCATTTTTTTAATTAAGGCATTATATGTGTACATATCTTACCATTGCCCCCCACTCCATACATACCCTTACCCCCGCACCCATGTTTTGCGACCGTTGGTTATGCTTATATGCATGCATACAAGTCCTTCGGTTGACCTCTTATCTCCCTACCTCTCCCTAACCTTCCCGCTGTAATTTGACAGAATGTTTGATGCTTTACAGTCTCTATATCTATTTTTTGGTTCATCGGTTTATAATGTTCTTTATTATGCACAAATGAGTGAGATCATGCATTTTTCTTTAACTGGCTTATTTCACTTAGCATAATCCTCTACAGTTCCATTCAGGTTGCTGCAAATGGTAAGAATTCCTTCTTTTTATGGCAGCATAGTATTCCATTGTGTAGATGTACCATAGTTTTCTGATCCAATCATCTGCAGACAGGCACCTACGCTGTTTCCAAATTGTAGCTATTGTAAATTGTGCTGCTAGGAACATAGGGGTGCATATATCCTTTCTGATGTTTCTAGTTTCTTGGGATATATTCCTAAAGTAGGATTACTGGGTCAAATGGGAGTTCCACTTTTAGTTTTTTTATTGTTTGTTTGTTTGTTTTTTAATGTATTTTATTTATTTTTTATAGAGAGGAAGGTAGAGAGATAGAGAACTAGAAATGTCGACGAGAGAGAAACATTGACCAGCTGCCTCCTGCACAACCCCCACGGGGATGTGTCCGCAACCAATGTATATACCACAGATCGGAATTGAACCTGGAATCTTTCAGTCCGCAGACCAACACTCTACCACTGAGCCAAACCGGTATTGGCCCATTTTTAGTTTTTTGAGGAAACTCCATACTGTTCTCCACAGTGGCTGCACCAGTCTGCCTTCCCACCAGCAGTGCACGAGGGTTCCTTTTTCTCCACATCCTCGTCAACACGTTTGTTGATTTGTTGATAGCCAATCTGACAGGTGCGACATGGTACCACATTGTCATTTTTATTTGCATCTCTTGGATAATTAGTGACTTTGAGCATGTTTTCACCTGTCTCTTGACCTTCCTTGTCTTCTTTCGAAAAGATTCTATTTAGGTCCGTTGCCCATTTTTTATTGGAACATTTATCTTTCTTTTATTAAGTTGTATAAGTTACCTGTAAATGTTGGAGATTAAACCTTAATCAGTGATAACATTTGCAAATATGTTCTTCCATACAATGGGCTTTCTTGTAGTTTTGTTGATGGTTTCTTTTGCTGTGAAAAAGCTATTTATTTGGATGTAGTCCCATTTGTTTATTTTCTCTTTAGCTTCCATTGCCCTAGGGGCACTATCAGTGAAGAAGTTCTTTTGGCATATGTCTGAGATTTTGCTGCCTGTAGATTCACCGGGTTATTTTATATATATATATATATATATATATATATATATATATATATATATATATATATTTATAATTGATTTTTTAAAGAGAGGAAGAGGGATAAAGAGTTCGAAACATTGATCAGCTGCCTCTTGCACACCTCCTACTGGGTATGTGCCTGTAACCTTGACCGGAATCGAACCTGGGGCCATTCAGTCCACAGACTGATGCTCTATCCACTGAGCCAAACCGGTTTTGGCTTCACTGAGTTATTTCATAAAAAGGAAGAGGAAAAAAAAAGTCTCCAGAGGGAGGAGATGCAAACTTTTTTTTTTTTTTTTTTAATATATTTTATTGATTTTTTACAGAGAGAAAGGGAGAGAAATAGAGAGCTGGAAACGTCGATGACAGAGAAACATCGACCAGCTGCCTCTTGCACACCTCCTACCAGGGATGTGCCCGCAACTAAGGTACATGCCCTTGACCGGAACCGAACCTGGGACCTTTCAATCCACAGACAGATGCTCTACTACTGAGCCAAACCGGCTTCGGCTGGAGACGCAAACTTTTTGTAAATTTTTGTATTTTTTTTAAAAAGGTTATCTTAGATTTATTATTATTACTTTTTTAATAATAAATGTGTGTTCTGAACCCAGAGCACACACTCCGCACTCTCAGCACTAACTGCCAGGAAGAATGGGTCTCTTTGCTTCTTGATGACCCTGGCTAGAGGTTCATTAATCTTGTTTATTTTCTCAAAGGACCAGCTCTTGGTTTTGCTGATCTTTTGTAGGATTTGTTTGGTATCTATGTTGTTTATCTCTACTCTGATCTTAATTATTTCCTTCCTTCTGCTTACACTGGGCTTTTCTTGTTGTTCTCTTTCTAACTCTTTAAGTTGTAGGGACAGGTAACTTATTACCATTGTTTCTTGTTTTTTGCAGTAGGCTTATAGAACTATGAACTTCCCTCTCAAGACTGCTTTTGCTGTGTCCCATAGATTTTGGATTGTTGTGTTTTCATTGTCTTTTGTTGCCATAATGTTTTTTATTTCTTCCTTGATCTCTTTGGTAATCCAGTCCTTGTTTAATAGCATGCTGTTTAGTCTCCATGTGTTTGATTTCTTTGGATTGTTTTTATTGTAGTTGATTTCCAGTTTTATGCCACTGTGATCCGAGAAGATGCTTGATATGATTTCTATCTTCTTGAATTTGAAGAGACTTTGCCTATGACTCAGCATATGGTCTATCTTTGAAAATGACCCATGTGCACTTGAGAAGAATGTACATTCTGTGGCTTTGGGGTGAAATGTTCTGAAGATATCACTTAACTCCATCTGGTCTAGTGAGTCATTTAGGATTAATGTTTCTTTGCTGATTTTTTGTTTAGAGGATTTGTCCAATGATGATAGTGGGGTATTAAAGTCTCCTACTATGATTGCATTGCCGACAGTGTCTCTCTTGATATCCTCCAGTTTTTTTTAATATATTTGGGTGTTCCTGTATTGGGTGTTTACCAGAATTATTTCTTCTTGTTGGATTGCTTCCTTTAGTATTATGAAGTAGCCTTCCTTATTTCTGGTTATGTCCTTCACTTTGAGATTTAATTTGTCAGATATAAGTATTGCTATCCCAGCTTTTTTTTTTTTCATTTCCATTGGCCTGAAAAACCATTTTCCATCCCTTCACCCTCAATCTATGTGCATCTTTTTTTTCTGAAGTGGATTTCTTGTAGATTGCAGATATATGGGTCTTGTTTTTTTATCCAATCCGTTGGGGTTCATTTTGCTTGAGACTGTGACCTTCTTGGATTTGTGTTGTTATTGTTGTTGTTGTTTCCCTATATCAGGAAAGTTTTCTGTCATTATTTTTTCAAACAGGTTTTCTATTCCTTGCTCAGTTTCCTCTCCTTCTGGAACCCCTATTATGTGGATGTTGTTTTGTTTCATGTTTTCTCAAAGTTCCCTGAGGATCTTCTGCTTTTTAATTTTTTTTCTAGAAGCTGCTCTACTAGGGTATTTTTTCCCACCTTGTCTTCTACTCACTGATGCGGTCCTCAGCTTCTAGTTTACTCTTGAAGCTTTCTATTTTCTTTACAGCAGTGATGTCATTTTTCATTTCTTCTTGGTTCTCACTCATATTGTCGAATTTGTCTTCCATTTTTTTTTATCCAACTCTGAATTCTTTCTCTGACAGGTTGCTTGGCTCCATTTTGTTTACTTCCTTTTCTGGTGATACCTGATTTTCTTTCATATGTGGGCTGTTTCTTTGTCTGCCCAAGTCTCTCTTCTCCAGATGTCTGCTTATGTAGTTCTCTCCCTCTCTCTCCGGCTAGTCAGGAGGCCTGGTCCTGCTACTGGAGCACACAGCAGGGACCTATAATTTCTAATTAGAGCTTGCTTTCAATAACATAGAACTGGTCTCTGACACATTCAATACCCATTCCAAAGCCTTGACTGTTATGCATCAATGAAAAAAACTTTTCTAAATCTACAGTACAACTGATTCTCAATCATTTCAATTATTACTCGGATAATTTTATGCCACACTGCACAACTGCTTTACATCTGCTCCTGACTGTAGAAACTCTCTAGATTCGGGATAAGGTATGCAGCAACAAAGTCCAAAGAGGACAACAGCTACAAAAAGAAATAATGAGACATTACAAGAGGGGTCCAAGAAGACTCACTAAGATGGTGAATTTTCCACTAAGAATCTCAGAACGGAGAGGTTCTTCATGAGGTTTCAGATTCACAATGCCTTCCTTCCTTCTTGTTTCCTAAAAATAAAGCACACAAGATAAATTAGTATTAAAATACTATGTACCCTAGTCAGTGTAGCTCAGTTGGGTTTTGAGTTGTCCATGCACCAAAAGGTTCCCCAGTAAAGATCATGCAGGAGGCAGTCTATCAGTGTTTCACTCTCATCTCACATCAATGTTTCTCTCTCCAGCTCCCTGCCACTCTTGCTAAAATATATAATTTTTTTAATTTTTAAGAGATTAAAAATGATGGCAGAGTAAGTTAGTGCTGCATGGACACACTCCTAGGAACAAACTGGAATTACAACTACAATACAAAAAAAACCCCCAAAACAAACAAATAAACAAAAAAAACCTTCCAGAATAAATCAATGGAAGACAAGAGTTTCTGCCTGCCAGGAAGAGATGGCTAGAAATGCAGGCAACCTCTTAAAGGGTCAAAGCACAAAATTTAGTGTGTAGCCATTCACCTTGTATTCTGGAAGAGGGAGGGAAGAGTGCACTGGAGCTGTATGGGCGGAAGCCAGGATTAAGGGCTCTGGAGTTAAAGCTCAGAAGGCAGGCACACTGGTTTCCTGGGCTGAGTCATCTTTCTCGCACAGATATCTGCTATACAGGCAGCTTTGCCTGGGGGGAAGAAAGCTGACCCAACATATTGGAAAACACCTTGCCCCAAGGTGTGAAATTTTGAGGCCTGATAGGAGACAGAATATGGCAGCCTCCAGGCAGAAGCAATTGTCCCACCCTGTTGAAAAAACTCTCACCACACCTGTGAATGATTACTTAAAGACTATTCAAGACAGAATCCTATCAGCCTGTAGGAAGTGGAGATCTCTGGAAGATTTGAATCTTTGCATGATTGAATTAATCAGAAACAGCATTTGGCTCTATCCTGCACTAGAAGTTAGTGTAGCAGAACTAATAAATAGTCACAAACCCAAACAGGCAGCCAAAATGAAGATACAAAGAAACAACCCCCAAATGTAAGAACAAGAAAACTGTCCAGACAAATATATAAATGAAATGGAGATAAGAAAATTATCTGATATAGAGTTCAGAATAATGATGTAAAGATGCACAACAGCATGAGGAAAGATGTAGTAACTATAACAACAGAAATAAAGAGTGAAATGGCAAAAATAAAAGACATATTAGAAGGAATACACAGCAGATTAGGGGAAGCAGAGGATCGAATCACTGAATTAGAAAACAGGATTGAAAAAAATCACCCAATCAGAGAACCAAAAAAATAAAAAACAGGAGGACAGCTTAAGGGGTCTGTGAGGCAACATGAAATGTAACATTTTTTAAATAGCTATGCCAAAAGAGACAGAAAGGGAGAAAGAAATAGACAACATGTTTGAAGAAATAATGGCAGAAGGAAAAAGTCACACAAATTCAGGAGGCATAGTCTCAAGGAAGAACTGAAACAGTTCCATGACCAGACACATCCTAATTAAAATGCAAAAAGTTAAAGGAAAAGAAAAAACTTAAAGGCAGCAAGAGAAAAGCAAACTGTTACCTATAAAGGAGCTCCCATAAGGCTAACACCTGATTTCTCATCAGAAAGTACAGGCCAGAGGGAATGGCATGAAGACTAAAGGTAATGAAAAGCAAGGATCTGAAACCAAGATTACTATTATATATCCAGGAAGACTATCATTCAAAGTGGATGGTGAGATAAAGAACTTCTCAGACCATGCCGAAACCGGTTTGGCTCAGTGGGGTCTGCAGAATGAAAGGTTCGATTCAGGTTAAGGGCATGTACATTGGTTGTGGGCACATCCCCAGTAGAGTGTGTGCAGGAGGCAGCTGGTGGATGTTTCTCTCTCATCGATGTTTCTAGCTCTCTATCCCTCTCCCTTCCTTTCAATGGAAAATCAATAAAAATATAAAAAGAACTTCCCAGACCAAAAAAAAAAAAAAGGCTAAAGAAGTACATCACCACCAAGCCAGCATTACAAAAAATGTTAAAGCGACTGCTATAATGAGAAAAAGAAACAGAAAAACCTAGGCATACAGAGTTAAAATGGCAATAAATAAGTGTAATAATAACCTTAAGTGTAAATATATTAAGTGCTCCAAATGAAATAGGGTAGCTGAATGGATATAAAAACATGACCAAATATATGCTATCTACAAGAGACCCACCTTAGGACAAGACACACAGGGATGAGAATGAAGGGATGAAAAAATGTTTCCATGCAAATGGAAAAGAAATAAAAGCTGGAGTAGCAATACTCATATCTGACAAAACAGACTTAAAAATGAAGGCCATCACAAGAGACAACAAAGGTCACTACATAATACTAAATTAATCAATCCAACAAGAGGATATAACCCTGGTAAACAAATATGCTCCCAAATAAAGGAGCACCTAAATATATATATATATATATATATATATATATATATATATATATATATATATATATATATATAAAGAACTTCTAGCCAAAACTGGTTTGGCTCAGTGGACAGAGCATCAACCTACAGACTGAAAGGTTCCAGGTTCGATTCTGGTCAAGGGCATGTACCTTGGTTAAGCGCACATCCCCAATGTGCAAGAAGCAGCTGGTCGATGTTTCTAGCTCTCTATCCCCCTCCCTTCTACTCTGTGAAAAAGTAATAATATATATAATTTTTTTTTTTAAAAAAAGAACTTCTAGAGGACTTTAAGGGAGACATCAACAATATTACAGTTATAGTAGGAGACTTTAACATCCTGCTGACTTCACTGGATAGATCTTCCACATAAATAATTTCTAAAGGACACAGGATCAAATGGATTAAATTGACATTTATAGAACATTTCACCCCAAAGCTGCAGAATATACATTCTTTTCAAGTGCACAAGGATCATTCAAAAACACAGACCACATGTCAGGACACAAAATAAGTCTCTAAAAGTTCAAGAAGATTGAAATCACATCAAGCATCTTCTCTGATCACAGTGGAATAAAATTAGAAATCAATTACAGTCAAAACATTCAAACACATGGAGGCTAAATAGCATATTATTAAATATCAATAAGGAAATCAAAACACTCCTGAAAACAAATAAAAATGAGCACACAACAACACAAAACACCTGGGACACAGCAAAAGCAGTCCTAAGAGGGAAGTTTGTAGCACTACAGGCCTACTTAAAAAAAACAACAAAAAAAACAGGACAGCCGAAACCAGTTTGGCTCAGTGGATAGAGCATCGGCCTGCAGACTGAAAGGTCCTGGGTTCGATTCTGGCCAAGGGCATATACCTTGATTGTGGGCACATCCCCAGTAGGAGGTGTGCAAGAGAAAGCTGATCGATGTTTCTCTCTCATCGATGTTTCTAACTCTCTATCCCTCCCTCTTCCTCTGTAAAAAATTAATAAAATATATTTTTAAAAAAAACAAACACAGGATAAACATAAATAAATTATTTAACCCTAAAATTAAAAGAACAAGAGAACAAGAAAAGCCCAGAGTAAGAAGAAGGAAGGAAATAATAAAGATTAGAATAGAAATAGATAACAAAAACTAAAAATCAATGAAACCAAGAGCTGGTTCTTTGAATGGATAAACAAAATTGATGACCTGAGCCATACTATCAAGAAGCAAAGAGTAAAAAAAAAAAAAAAAAAAAAAGAAGCAAAGAGTGAGGACCTCAATAAATAAAATCAGAAAGAAAATGGAGTAGTAACCACTGAGACCACAAAAATACAAAGGATTTTAAGCAAATACTATGGACAACTATATGCCAAAAAGCTGGACAATGTGGATGAAATAGACAAATTCCTGGAAATAGACAAACTACAATTTCCTAAAACTGAGTCAGGAATAATCAGAAAACCTGAATAGACCAATAACAACTGATGAAATAGAAGCAGTAATCAAAAAAATTCCCAGCAAACAAACACCTAAATCTGGATGGCTTCACAGGGGAGTTTTACCAAACATTCAAAGAACTAACACTTATACTCCTCAAACGATTTCAAATAATCCAAGAGGCAGGAACACTTCCAAGCTCCTTTTGAGGCCAGCATTACCCTAATTCCAAAACCAGATAATGACACTATAAAGAAACAGAATTATAGGCCAATATCCCTGATGAATATAGATGCTAAAATCCTCATCAAAATATTAGCAAATTGGATCCAGCAATATATGAAAAAGATCATAGACCATGACCAAATGGGATTTATTCCAGGGATGCAAGGCTGGTACAATAGTCACAAATCAATAAATGTGATATATCACATAAACAAACCGAAAGACAAAAAATCACATAATCATATCAACAGACACAGAAAAAGCATTAGATAAAATCTAACACCCATTTTTGATAAAAACTCTCAGCAAAGTGGGAATACAAAGAGTATCTCAACATGATAAAGGCCATATATGACAAACCTACAGCCAACATCATTCTCAAAGGGAAAAAACTAAAACTATTTCCCCTAAGAACAGGAACAAGACAGGGTTGTCCATTTTCACCCCTCTGATTACACATAGTACTGGAAGTTCTAGCCACAAAAATCAGATTAGGAAAAATAACCAATGGACACAAAACTCTGGGGAGAGAGGACATATCTGGAAGGGGGGGGGGGGGGCAATGGTATATGTACAGAGATAATAATTTAATAAAAATAATAAAAAAAATTTTAAATAAAATAAAATAAAATAAAAGGGCCTAACTGGTTTGGCTCAGTGGATAAAACGTCGGCCTGCAAACTGAAGGGTCCCCAGGTTCGATTCCAGCCAAGGAATCGAACTATACGTTGGTTACAGGCACATCCCCAGTAGGGGGTGTGCAGGAGGCAGCTGATCAATGTTTCTAACTCTCTATCCCTCTCCTTTCCTCTCTGTAAAAAAAAAAAAAAAAATCAATAAATTATATATATTTTTTAATATATTTTATTGATTTTTTTTACAGAGAGGAAGGGAGAGGGATAGAGAGCTAGAAACATTGATGAGAGAGAAACATCGACCAGCTGCCCCCTGCACACCCCCTCATTGGGGATGTGCCCGCAACCA